TCTGAGGCGATGAGGTCCTCAGTGAAGGTCATTGTGTGTGTGTGGTTGACCAGGGTCTGTCTCTGAGGAGGATTTGTAGCTGAGTGGTTGAGTTTGATGTAATGGCCCGTCCAGCTGAGTAAGATTTTGCTTTTACCCAAGATGAAAAACGTTGGTAGGAAGTGGGATCAAGCTTTCGGCTCAGCTGGTGCTTACATTACTTTACATTGCTTCTTTGCGCCATTTAGAGCGAGGAGGCGGGTGAGGGTATTGGCATGACGTTTGTGTTGGAACGCGGTGTTAGTAAGCCTTGGCTTGCAGAGTTCCGCGGTCCGCGATAGGATGATGCAGTCCCTTTGCTGGAACTGTGAACGCTGTCTGCATGTTCGAATCCACCGTCCTGCATAGCAATATTACAGAACGTACATCGTTCATGGTCATGTATTTCCCAAAGGCTATATCTACGCAATGCCTGCTCATGGTATACAATCCTCCTCAACACACAGGCGCCCTAATAAAACCGGGCTGGAGGAGCGCCATGAAACACCGACCGTCCGTCATTAACACCTTAAAATATTTTTCGTTTTTAGTTCCTTTTTTTTATCTTTCCACAATGGATCCAAAAAGTCTTTTGATGCATAGGTATTTCCAAAACTCCCCGCTTTGTACAGAATAATCCAGAAAGATACTTTATCGGCTAGAAGAGACGTTGCTCAACCAGTCCGCTGGCGCCGCTGAGCCCTTGTATGCGAAGCCGATGACGAGCAGCAGAGTAATGAAGACAAGCAGGGCGAAGAAGATTGCGCGGCGGACAAGAGGGGACAGCCGGCCCTCGTCGAGAGTCTGAGAGTTCCAGACCCCACGGACCTTGGCAAAGGCGCCCTGGCCCGAGGTCTTGAGCTGTTCCCATCCGGTCGAGTAGATCACGAGGCCGAAGAGCGCGACCGAGTAGCCGACGAACTGCATGAAGGTGATGCTGGTCTTCCAGATGAGGACGGAGGCGATGATGAGCAGAATGTTCTTGAGGATGCCGGTGAGGGTCATGACCAGGCCTGAGGTCTTGCCGATCTGTGGGGCCTGTTAGCGATACGAGTTGTGGGATTCGAGGCTGTGCGAAACTTACGAGGAACACACTGGAGACGTTGAGCATGAAGGCGACCGCGGCGTTGAGGAGGAGCATGCTGATGCCCGTCCTGTGCAGATCCTCAACGTTGAACTTGCTGAACTCGCTGGCCCAGGCAACGAAGAAGTTCATGACAGCGCAGACCGGGGCGTAGTAGTACAGGCTGACGAGGGGGTCCATCTTTTGCGCGCTCTCATCGCCCTTCAGCAGAACCTGAATCATGACGAGGCGAATGCCCTCGAAAACGATGCCGCCCATTTGGAAGATGAAGCCGATCCAAGAGAACTCGATCTCGCCGAACGAGGCGAGCGCCACACCGGCTACGATGAGAAGGACATTATAAAAAGTCTTCATCGAGGGTTCCGCGACGCCCCAGATCCAGCTAATGATGAGCACAGCGACGGGAGCGCCAGCCTTGAGCATCTGAATGAAGGAGACAGATAGGTAAAGGTAGACCAGGTTGGAGCAGACGAGGGAGCCCGAATACAGCAGACCGATGGGGACGATGGCGCGTAGGTAGACGCGACCGGTCATCTTGACCTTGTGGCGGCCATCGAGGAGGCTTGTGGTGCGCGCCAGCACCTGGGTTGCAAGAGTTGAAAAGACCAGATGCCAGAAGGTGAGAATGACGGCTAGATAATGTTAGTGAGTTGGGATGAGAAGCGCGTGCCAAGAGCGATGAGGTGGTCACTTGGCGATGAGAATTACATACGATATTCTACGTTGCGGTTAGCTCATGTTGAAGTCAGCAAAGACGCGTTAAACTTACTAAAACCTGCCGTGTCAAGCAGCCATTTGTTGAAGAGAATGGTCAGATTTGAGAAGAAGATCCAACTCCTACGCGGCGGTTAGATGAGTTGTCAAGACTACGTTGTTGAGGGCGACGGCGAGGGTGTCTAAACATACGCGATGAAGAAGGCCGGGTGAGCGGCCTTGGAGGCCGTGGGCTTCTCCGTTGTCGGGAGAGTGGTCATGATGGCTACGTTTGAGAGACTTCAACTACAAGAGAGCGGGATGCTGTGTCCAAGAAAGGCCAAGAGGGTTGGCGATCGGTGTTGTCGGGGGTCGGAGGTGGGTGAGATGCGGCGACGGAGACGGCGGATGTGGGCCGGAGCGAGTCGGGGGATCGGATTGCCCAGAAAAGATGGCGAAAAGAGCGGGCGCAGCGATTCGAACACCACCAGAGGAAAAAGGTTGGAAAGGAAAGAAAACGATGGTGGGTGGTGGCAGCTGTGAGGTTCACAATGAGCCGCGTTGAGAGGGAGTGGTAAGGAATGGAGGAAGAGCAAGGAGTGAGGACGAAAGGGTGAGGTAGGGTAAGGGAAGCTGGCGACAAGCCGGAGGAGGAGGAGGAGGAGAGACAAGAAGTGGAAGGCTTAAGGCAAGGTAAGCTTAGGTACTTCTACTCCAAGTCCTCAAGCGTTGGTTGGAGCCTGCTGGTGTCGCGCCGTCTGGTGCTGGAGCTTCTGCGGCGCAGGAACCCGAATGAGCCCCCCTTTCCCAGGCTCGTTTCTCGTGTTAGGTACCGGCAGTACTTGTCTCCAGGCACTTGGGTACCAGGCAATGCAGGCGGTACCTCTCTGGACAGCGGGCTGACGGGCACCTGAAAGAAGGGCTGGGCTGACTGAGGGGTAAAGGGGACTTGGGGACCTCTTTTTGGGAGAGGAGACGCTAACGTCGGGCGGCGGCGGGCACGTGGAGGGAGCGACGCCGACTAACACCAAAGGAGGCCTTCGCTGTTAAACCCCTGTGTCTTGGCCTTCTTTAAAGGTAGACCAGCTCGGCAAGCTGCAAGTCGTCGTTGGAGGAACCAGTCCACGATGCAGCAAGTATCCCGTTCTGGCGAGTGGTCTGTAGGCGAGCTGACACTGCAGTTTAAGAGTAATCAATCAATCAGGCAGCGATGGTAACGAGACATCCACCGTCTTCTTTGGGAGTCTGCTGTGTCAGCCTGTGAATATCCAATGTCAGTTTCGTCCTGATCGTCGACTGAAGTCGTACAAGGGGATGCCATGTGCGACTCAGACCCAGCCGTGGTGGTGGATGTCACTGACGGTTCGAATGCGACTTTAGAGTCAAGCAACTCTAGAGACGGGAGGTGTTCGGACGAGGAAGGGAAGTCAAGACGGGGTTGACAGCGGAGCGGCGGTCCAGTTCAGCCCTGGTGACGATCTGAGTGAGATCCGAGGGCAAGGTAAGAAGAAAGGTATGGTTGTACTTGGAGAAAAGAAAGTTGCCCGGAGCTTTGGGTGGTGAGTGAGTGAGTGAGTTCCGGCAGGCGAACGAGACACTGCACACAGGCACAAGACAAGACTCAGTGCTGCGATTGCACAGGCAGGGGGAAAAGGGGACACACAGTTTCCCCGTTCATCAACCAAAGAAAGTTTGTTTGACCGGGCCCCGCGATTGCATCGTATTGATGAGCTGGTGCTAGGCCAGAGCCTGTGCCGCTACACCCAGGTTGCCAGGACCCCGGACTTCAAACGACCAACAATAGCGCGCGCGCGCCGAGAGACCCGGCTTGCCGCTGAATTGCTTGCTGCTGCGAAGGCTGCTGGGGTCTCGGTGTCATGTTTTTATTTAATTTAAGCTCTGCGGACAGGGGTTGGAGGCTGCAACTAGCCCGAAATGGACCGGTGGGGATTGCTCTTCGCCTGTGCTGCACTGCTGTGCATTTTGCATGCCTGCGCGCTTCTCCGTTTGCGAGGTAGCGAAATTGGTACTTGTAGTTGTAGGCAATGAATTTCACTTGCAGCGAGGGTGAGTTGCGGCGTTGTTGGTTGACTGCATCCCGTCCCTAGAGACAAGCCTCGGACTCTCTCTTGGGGTCCGAATCATAGTTGCATTTCAGGACAAGAATGTAGGGCCTTTTCCTCTCTAAAGAGGAATGTCGCCCATGTGAAGAGAAGAAGCTTGTTCATATTGCCGTCCAGATAATGACTGCGTTGGTGACCTTACATTTGAGACGCCGCCCCTGAAACCGCCCCCATCTTCCAACGCCAACAACCAACAACCCGAGGTTTCTCGTGTGTCTTCTCACGCTGACAGCCAACAACGGCTCTGGCTTCTGTCAACCACCATGGAAACCCGCCAAATTGACCTGCCACTTTCGTGAGATGGGTGTGTGGGGGCAGCCGTCGTCGGTATGAGATGCCTATTCTAAGGACCTGAGCACCCCTCTCAGCGGCTGCAGTGAGGCGATTAAATCACTGGAGAAGGGCGATGGTGAGGCACATCGCCAAGAGTTGACCAAGTTGTCTTGGTGAGTCGAGAGACTGCAAGGATTGTTACTCGAGCACCCAGCTAACCGTCACCAGGAGCAAAGATCGAGACACCAAGGAACGGAACCGGGCAGATAAGTCTGGTATCACACGATACAAGGGACGGCATGCATGAGTAGGTACCCAAGAATAATTTTGAGTTTACTGGCATTAATGACAACCCAAAGGACATGTCGCTGTTCCCGATGCCGACTTACGACGCCATCACTCTATCGCTGTCACGCACGAGGCTCGCAACGATGGGGTGGCTGAATCTCAGCTGCATGCTGATCTTGCACAGCCAAGAATGCGACGAGCCTTTATCTGATGGGGGTGAAATCTACTCATATGCATAGCTGGAGTTGGGAGCGTGGACCAACTCATTGTAGAAGTCTGATGTGAGCCCACGGCCCCCATCGAACCCTTCAAAGTTCAAGTACTTCAGGCCACACCCCTCATCGGCCCATGTATCTTGCCTCATATTTGGCTGGTACGCGTGTGTCTCTTCCCCTCTCATCCTCTTCGTCCGGCCTCAGTCGTTCCTTCTTTCATACCGAAGCTCACCTGGATTGAGCAGTGTTCGGGCGTTTCTTTCACTCTTTTACCACATTATATTGTTATAACACACCTTGCCCGTCATGAAGGCATCCGCTTCATCTCACCAGATCAAGTATCTGGCCTTTCTTGCCTCAGCCGTTTTCATCTGGTTCGTCTGGCGAGTGAACGCCCCTTCGGAAGTCGCAGACAGGGTGCGCAAGATCGCCTCCCAATACAACTCGTCGCCCAGCGATGGCATCGACACCAGCACGGGTCTCGCCAAAACCGAGATCCTCTCGCCCGAGAAGGCGGAGGAGTACTGCGACCACTACCGCCTCAAGTCCATGCCCGAGGACTTCGTCCGCAAGCGCAAGATCTACGACCTGCTCCTCGTCAACACCGAGATCGAGATGCTCGAGCTGCGCCTCGGCCAGATGGAGCCGTACGTCGACTACTTTGTGATCCTCGAGTCCGACAAGACCTTCACGGACCACCCGAAGCCGCTGTACGTCAAGGACAATTGGGACCTCTTCAAGCCCTGGCACGACAAGATGATCGTGCGCACCATGGACCTCGAGGCCATGAAGGACGGCTCGACCTGGGACCGTGAGAAGCTGAGCCGCAACGCCATGTACGAGCAGGTCATCCCCGGCCTGACGGGCGAGCAGGCGGCCTCGGAGGACGACATCCTGCTTGTTTCCGACGTCGACGAGATTCCCAAGCCCGAGGTCCTCCGCGCGCTGCGCAACTGCGAAGTCCCGACCCGGGTGACGATCCACTCCAAGATCTACTACTACTCCTACCAGTGGCTGTCGAGAAACGACTGGAACCACCCGCAGGCAACGCTGTTCCGCGGCAAGGATACCGTCCTGCCGGACGACCTGCGTTCAAATGCCAATGATCATCACTTCAACCAGGGCGGCTGGCACTGCAGTTACTGCTTCAGCACCACTGAAGAGATGGCGCAGAAGATCAACTCGTTCTCCCACTCCGAATTCAACAAGCCCGAGTTCAAGGACCCGCAATGGATCGTCAAAGTGGCTCGGTTGGGTCATGATATGTAAGTTCTCCTGTGAAGGCATCGTTCAGAGCACGTTATTGACAACATTGGCACAGCTTTGGCAGAGGCGACTCCAACTTTGACCGCATCGAGGTGAACCATGATATTCCGGACTACATCAAGCGCTACCCCGACAAGTTCAAGTATCTGGTTGACCGCGATCCCCCCAACGCCAACTTCAGGGACTACCAGACCAGTCTAATGGACTGAGCTCACAGCAGTTTGGGGCTTGTGAATGTAGAGTGATCTGATACTGGAAGGAGACCCAGGAAAGACGGGATGACAGGCGTTCGGGCGCATCATTGATATGCGGGCAGGCAAGGATTGCAATAGAAAGGACTCTTTACTACCATTATTTTTGAATATCAATTACACTACAGTCCCAGTGAGGCAATCTATCTCATCATCACAACTTCTGTAAAACTCCCATCTACCACTGCACTGAGTAAGCCCTGCGGGTATCGTTACACTCGCTTTCGCTCCTATCGCACCGAAAAGAACCAAAGTAGCAGCAGGAGACGTCCGAGAGGCCAAAATAAAGTTTCCCCAGACGGAACCGCCGGAAACTTCCTGAGACGTGACGCCCATTCAGCAACTCGGAAAGGCCCCCCACCTCCACATTCAGGCACTCCCATGACTCGGCGTGCCTAATTCCAGCAGAGCCCCTCCTCCCCTCCATCAAACTCGCGCACCTTCAAACTTTAGTTGAACAAGACGACCATCACCATCAAGTCAAATTAGTAGTGAAAAAGGTAAACCAAATGAAGCCAAGACAGCGAATCATAGAACGAATCAGAGAGGGTGGGTTTGTCCATCATTCACTTGTAGCTATGAAGAAAAGTAAAGAGAAAAAAAACTTCAAAAAGGGTGGCCCTGGAATACACTATTACAATCCTTATCTAACTTTACAGATCCGAGACGGTCGCAACGGTGACCTGCCCTATGGGTTTCAAGTCGACGAATGGGCTGAGGCTGGGGAGATTACTGCAATACCGGCGGGAGAACCTTGAATAATCATAGCCAAGACGGCACACACCAACGGCGTCCCAGGCGAAGCGCAGCAAATACTCGGATTCCAGCGGACGTTTTCAAGTCCATCTCTCCGACGCTGGAGGGCCATTCCTTGACTCGTGCTAGGCGCTGTCATCTGGAACCAAGGTTTGGGTACCCTGCCTTCGAGCAAGAAGGCTGCATTTCTCCCTGTGCTTGAAGCCCTGGGCGATGATTAAGCGAGAGAAATCATCGCATCATGGACTCGGCTGTTCGAGGACCGGGATTCCCCGCCGTTCGTTAAGCCCTATCGTGCGCCGTAGCCGCCCGACCATCCGGCACCGGCACCCGGCCCGAGCCCGAATCGTGAAGTGGGACCGGCCAGCTTTCGGCGTCGGAGCTGTGTGATGGGTCCTAACCTGTAAAACGTAGGACGATCAAGCATTGTGGGAAGCATCTTTAACAGTACCATGTGTTTTATACTTGTACAGTTGCTACTTTGCCATAGCTGGTATGAAATTGTGAATCCTTTGTTCAACCCATTAGAACGCCTCCTTTTCCCAGCCTACCCGTTCAGATACCGCGAGAAGCTGCGCTTTTGCTGTTGATTTCCTTTGAAGTCCGTGGGGTATTCAGACGCAGGAAGAGGAACCAGCGGCTTCTAGCGACTCCTGCTCCTTCTTCGACTGCGGCTCCGATCCCTCCGGTCCCGACGTGACGAGAGGCTCCTATCTCTCCTGCTGCGGCGGTCCCTATCGCGATCTCTGTCACGGTCACGGTCTCTATCCCTATCCCGATCCCGGCGATCCCTGGACCTGTCCCTATCACGGTCTCTCTCGCGGTCGCGGTCGCGATCACGGTCTCTGTCTCTTCGATCTCTGTCTCTGTCACGCTCCCTGTCGCGATCCTTGGCTCGACTTCTGCTCCGCGACCGGCTGCGGCGGCGGTCTTCACGATCATCACGCGACAGATCGTGCGGTCGCTCCCTGTCTCTACCGGGAGGCACGTACCGATCGATCTCGTCCAGATCACGCTTTCGTTTGGCTTCTGGAGACCGCTCGCCCGTACTCCTCTTGTCGTCGATTCCTGGGACGGGCATGCCCTTCTCACGAGCCTCACGCTGAGCGGCCAAGTATGCCTTGGCTTCCTTCTCCCGCTTCCGAACCTCGTCCATCTTTGTTGTCTCTCTAACCTCCTGTTCCTTGTCCAGTTTGGAGGCTGACCTGACTGCTGAAGAAGTGGGACGCGACCGTGACCTACTCTTGCGGTCGCGGTCTCGCTCCTTCTCTCGGTCCCTAGCCCGATCAGGAGATCGATCTCTTCTGGTGCGAGAACGACTGCGATCCTGACGAACAGACTCGCGCCTCTCGACTCTTGGAGATCTGCTGCGGTCTCGCCTTGCCGTGCGTGGTCGAGATCTTGAGCGGGACCGTTCGCGCCTGTCAGATCTCAAGCGAGAACGGCTTCTATCCCTTCTCTCCACCCGAGTGCGTGAGTGACTCCTTTCACGGCGCTCTGTCCTAGTTCGAGAGCGACTTCTGTCCCGTCTGTCATTGCGCCGATCCCGGCTGCGGTCCCTAACGCGAGATCGGGAACGGCTCCTGTCGCGACGATCGTGTCGTGTGCGAGATCGGCTCCGATCGCGTCGAGTTCTAGTACGGGAAGGAGAACGAGTCCTATCTCGCCTCTCTGTACGTGTCCGAGATCGACTCCTATCGCGCCTAGGTCTTGACCGGGAGCGAGATCTGTCACGTCTGTCGCGAGAACGATCCCGGCGGGGTGACCTGGAACGACGATCACGTCTGCGGCGGTCGTCGTCGTCTCTCGTACGACGCCTGTCATCGTCACGATCACGTTCACGATCCTTTCCGCCATCTCTTGACCGACTACGGCTTCTGGTCCGTGTCTCTGTCGTCTCAACCTTTGGCGCGGCAGCCACACTGCCATCTCTTGCTTCTTTCTTTACCACCGGATCAGAGGGCTTTTTGGATTCCGAGACCTTTGGCGAATCGCGCGAAGAGACCTTTTTGATAGGCATGATAGCAGACGCCGGTGCCAGCTTTCTAGGCGGGGGAGCCAACGCCTCATCAATTTCCATCTCGGGTTGCTTCGCTGCACCGTGGGTGCTTTCGCGCAAGAGATCCAAAAGGGCTTCCTCTTCGAGCCTCTTCATATCTTCCTGGGTGAGGTTCTTCTTGGCCTTCTCAGTCTCCTCTTCTCGCTGTTTGCGTCTCCGTTCCCTTTCCTCTTGCCGCTCACGCTCGCGTTCGGCATCGCGTTCACGGTCACGTTCGCGATCGCGGTCCCGGTCTCTTCGACGGCTGCGGCTTCGACTCCTGTCGCGATTCCGGTCTCGACTCCGCTCCCTGTCTCTTTGCCTGCGGCGTTCGTCTCGCTCGGCGTCTCGCTCAGCCTGAGCCTTTTCCCTAGCGGCTCTGCGGGCGTCTCGTTCTGCCTTGCGTTGCTCCTCCGCCTTTTCGCGCTCCTTTTCGACCTTCTTTCGCTCCTCTCTGGCGATCTTACGCTTCTCTTCCTCGATGGCTAGCTCCTTCTGCCTTAGCTCTTCGCGTACTCTCTCCCGTTCAGCTCTTCTCCCCATGGTATCGGCGTGGTATTCCTCGTCTGTTTTGGCGCCTCGTTGTTGCTCTGCGGTCGCTTCTTCCTCGCCAATGTCGGCTCGACGAAGCTGGCGCATTCGTTCCTCAATAGCCTTCTTATCGATGAGCTGTGTGATGACCTGCTCAGCCTTTTGGTAGACGCCAGATCGCTCGAGAGCGCCATCAATAAGGGCGGCAGCCTTTCCGCGGTCGAGTGTGAGAAGTTGGTGGGGGTTTCGTTGAACCTCGTGTTCGGCGACCTCGAGGATGGCTTTCGTAACTTGTTCCTCGTAGTCCTGAATCGCTCGTTAGCAGAATAACCGATGGCCAAATGAGAGTGCAGACGTACGCTGGCAGCGAACTTATCCCACACCTCTTTACGAATTGCGTCGTAGCCTCCCTTCTTCTTGAAGCTATGCGCCAGTGAATCGATGGCAGCTCGGGTGGCAGACGGCAGAGGAAGATCGGAGGCTTTGTACTTCCTGGGAGCTGGAGCATCGTTGGCGGCTGTCGCCCCCGCGGCCGCATCAACAGACGCAGATGCCATGGCGGCAGGTAGCGCCGACGTCGCCATCCTGCTGTGACCCCAGTCAGGGGACGTTGGTATTGATATTTGCGCCGCCGGGCGGTGGTGTCGTTGGTGTCGCAGAACAGCGTCGTTTGCGCGCTTCGCAGTCGATCGATGGGTTTGCCTGCACCGCGAGACAAATGAGATGTCTGTCGCAAATGCTTTCGCCTATCCCCTTTGGCGACGGCAACAACCTGATGCGAAGGTTGTGGAGCGAATGATTTGGAGGAAGAAAGAGCTCGAAACCCTTGCTTCTAGAGACGCGTTCGGAAAGCGCCCCAGACGCTGATTTCTCAAAGTCCAACAGTGCAAGCAGTTCGGTCGGTGGAGCAGACAAGGGGGCCACAAACTTTAGTGGCACCTCCATCCCTGTTCAGACCGGAATGTGGTCCGAGCGCTACTCATGCAGGCTGATTCTCAGCGGCTTCATTTTACAATTGGCAGGACTTCGGTGCTTGGAGGTAGCAAACATGTATTAAATTCCTGTATGGTCCAGATTGTTCTCTATTATTATGAGGTGTTAGTCCCATGGAATAACATACGAATTAAAGTTATACATAATGTGCGCTTTTAGTATGCATCGACGCGGCTTGAATAGATCTTTGGACATTTTGGTTCAACAAGCAGCAGAAACGTACCTTGCGAGTAAACTTACAACTAACCTATTTTTGATGGAAGTGTTTTGGACACTTGAGCAAGTGTCGAACCATTGCATCTTCAATATAATAGTAAGTACCTCGCTGACAACAGCATAACCCTTGCGGTTGTGCACTTATGCTGTACATCATGATACTTAAGGATCAGCTCAACCTTGTAGATCAACTCCTCGAGACCCCATCAATCAGTGAAGAACACAGGCCTCATCCACGAGAACAATTTGCAAAACCAGACAATAGGATGGCCATAAGTACCGGTGAATATGTATTAATGATGCTAGAGGACCAACTAAGCGAAACGCCATCAAAAAAGCCGCGCCTTTGCTTTCATAGTTCCCAGTCTTTTTACTCCTTGACCATAAACTCCTCGATATCCTTGTCTTCATCATCCTCCTGCAGCTCAGCAAGTCTCTTCTCCTCGGCGTCAATCATCTTCTTCAGGACGTCGCGCTGCCTCCTGCGCGCCTTCTTGCCCCAGTCGGTCGCTGTCGTGGAGCTGGGAGCGTCCTCGTCATCGTCGTCGCTGTTCTCGGGAATCTCGACCTGGCCGCGCAGGGTGTTGGGCTGGACCTGCGCCTTGGGGGCGTTAGGATCCTCGATGGGAGCCTCGTGCTCCTTCATCTGCTTGCCGCCAGCCAGCTTCATGAGGTAGGGACGGACGAGGCAGTATGCGCCGACGATGATAACGAGGCGGATCCACTTCTCGGGCGTCATGCCCTCAAGACTGCCGCGCAGGTTGGTGCTGAAGCGCGTCCAGACGGTGGACACAAGGTCGAAGATGCCGGCCATTTTGACGGTTTGGTGTCGCAAAGTGGGGGGATTGAGAGGCAAGCGGTCGTGTGGAGGAAAGCCAACCGAGTCGGTTTGCGCTTTGCGAGTTGGGAGGAAGTCGTGCGTTATATGTAGTCGTTGCAGATAGTTGAGTAGGTCGGGTCAGCCGGATGAGGTGGCGGCCTTGACGGAATAATAAAAGGAGAATTGATGCGGATGAGGAATCGCGGCTGGAGAAAAATGTCGCGACGTCGAGAGTCGGCCCGCACGGCGTCAAAATTGCTCCAAAGGCCCCACGTGGAAGAACCCGCTAGCTTCGGCCAATTGGTGGCACGGCATTGGAGAAACGCTGGAAGCTCACACTGGTGAAGCGACTTCCAAGGGTCCTACAGGGGGTTCGCCAGTGATGTCACAGCGCGTTTCTTCGCATTGCAAAACCTCAAGGTACACGCAGAAGTAATACCACTAGAACAGGACAAGAAGCCGCGAAACAAGTTGGCTATTGATCTGAACTCAAAAAAATTGCTAGTATTATTTGATAAATGTGAAATCTATAGGATATGATTTCAACATAACAACAATTTGGAAGAAGTTTCCCGCGAGGAAGCACCTGCCCAGCACCCCCAAGCGACGCTTAGTCATCAAACGCGAGATCATGTGATTATCTTCAGCATTAATGCAGCTTGGTTCATCAACTTGACCTGCAAGGTTGAAGGACCCAAACATCAGCTCACGCAATTCGTGCAATTTCGCTGCTGATTTGACGCGCCAAAACTTACCTTCTCGGCTGTCATTCTACTTTTGTTGGAAAAAGACAGCATCGCCGAGACTAGCGACGCGTCTGTCGCGTAAAGTGGTACCGACCTCAACGCACCCCACGTCTATCACCTTCACGATGGCTGAATCAATGGACGAAGAGCAGCGTGAGGTAAGCAGGCATCACAACTAGAAGCTTTAAGATTCTGGTCTAATCCGGCATTCAGCGCCTCAAGGCCGCACTCTGGTTCGCGGTTGGCAAAATCGTCGATGAGGAGTCGCTGAAGCAAAACTGCAACGCAACACCGCAGTTCATCGGTGCATTGACTGAGATGGTTTGGTCCCAAATCGGTAAGAGACATGCAAGTAAATGCCTATGTGCTTTCCGGGCTAAATCACCCGCAGAGTCCGTCGCCATTGACCTCGAAAACTTCAGTCGACATGCCAGGAGGTCGACAGTGCAGACAGAGGACGTGGTGCTTCTGGCGAGAAAGAATCCCGATTTGTTGGACCTTGTGAAGGAGTTTGTCGAGCAGAAGAAAGCTGACAAGCTCAAGAAGGGCAAGGGCAAAGAGAGGAGATGATCAAATCGGCTGGCGTTGTTCGCATTCCGATGATGAAAGAGGTCGTGGCATTTATGATACCCCAAATTTATGAATTCAGCAACGAAACAGAGCCATGCTTTGCCACTTTTCCCATTCAAGTAATGAGGTATCTCGTAATCCCGCACGTGCTTAACTCCCAAGACGCCATTTTCCCCTTACAAGCCTCAATTAAATCATCACCCTCTGGTCCATGTTAGGACTGTTCTTGTTGTCTTCTTCGTTCCTCGGCTGCTTCGGCCTCGTCTAGCTCGTTTAGTAACTTCCACTCTTCTTCAGTGAGGTGAAACCACTGGGCAAGGGACGTGATGATCGTCCAAAGTTCGCCAGCAATTACCAAGTGCAGGAACTCCAACCCCAAAAAGTTGGTGATGCCCTTCAACGTCATACCACTGAAGATATTGATCTCATGGATATCATCGAAAGGAAGCCTCATCCTGGACCTGTAAGACCTTGCGACCAGTCTGAGCGAAAGAGCCTCATACGGAGACACGAGCACGTAACCAGAGATGACTGTGAAAATGTCTGATGCGAGGCATGCAGGGAGCCTAGTCAGCATGGTGTCCATATACTGCACGGAGGCGTGGCCGTAGGCGCTATCTGGTCCTGTGCTTGGTCGAAGCTCTGCGGACCAGAGTCCTGGAGGCGCATCGGTGGAGTCAGTAGCTTCAACATCGAAGCTGATCAGTGTTGCACTGACGCCTCCATCCTCGTCATCATCGCTACCGTACTCGTCTCCTCTTGCTGAGAATGTGCTTTGGCGGCGGACTGCCTGAACTGGGGCACCGTCATTGGCCTCTTGGGGAACCCCGCCGAGTGCCTCAATTGGCACCTCCGGAATAGCTTCGTCTTGGGGCTGTTCAATTTCCGGCTCTGGGTCCGGTATCTCGGGGATCGGCGCCGGTGGTGGGGGAGGTGGGGGAGGCTTGCGATGATGTACTGTGTTTGGCAGTCTCCCATAGAACTCTTGCCACAGATGACCAGTCACTTCGGTCCAGATTTGTCCCCAAACGACAAACGAGACAAAGGGAACGGCGTTGATGCACCAGGCGCAAGCATACTGTGCTAACGACTCGACGCTGAAGTCCTTTGGCGGTTCTGGCGCTGCAATAGGCGAAGAAGGCGATCCCGGGACGAAGAAGCTCAGTGACGGGAACCATCTGCTGGATGGTATGATGTCTAGGCGTTGGAGAAACACGTAGAGCTGGAGGTGTACTCGGATGTAGGATAGACCCATGTTTAACCACCTATTCTTCCTTGGGAAGGGATAGAGGTAGTAAGTAGCCATTTTGAAGACGTGGCCCCCCAGAAAGGTCGGTAAACCAGTACCGAGGGCACTTGCGAGCGACCGATTGCCGATTTCATTCTGGAGCAGTTCGAAGAATGAAATGTCTGCATAGCGCTTATACAGAAGAATGCGCAGTCGCATACCGTTGATGCCCCAAACTCCTCCAATCTCCAGTGCTCGCCCAAAGCGAAGGAGCCGAGTGCCCACCGCATCTTCATAGTTGAAGTATCGTCGCACTGAATCAACCTCTGCCGCGGAGGGTGTGTTATCAGGCTCCGCGACTCCTATGACCTGCATGACTTCGTTATGGGATCGGACCATGTCCCGGTTCATGCGCTTGGTTTCGGGGTTGATCGGTCGGCCGCGGTTGTCGTATTGTTGCTCTGGCGCCCGAGGATCGGCTTCGCCTTCACCCTCGACAACATCGTCGTATGGCGACCGGCCCTGAGTAAACATATCAGCTGCGGTAGCCCTGGTGGGTTGCGGAGGTGCTTACCAAGGCTTGAGCCGTCAACGGGCCTTGTCTCGTCATCTTCGGGCACAGATGCGCTCCAACATATGTGCGACAATGTGGTTGACTTGAGTTGGTCGTCTCACTGTCGCTGCTTCAAAGTCGCTGGTAAGACCGTTGCCAGCCTGTCAACTTGGGGGCAAAAAGTGGCCCTGTGGCTGCTTTTCAGATGTCAGCAGCAATGAATGCGTTTGAGAGAATGCGCCGGGATGTGCTTCAGTGAAGCAGCTGTCGCTGCCGCTGTCGAATGGTGCCGGGGGTAGCTCCTGGAGCACGAAGTGGGGCTCGGATTAGATAACACTATCGATAAGCGCATCCCGCCGACAGAAAGAAAAATTTCTGGACTTTTCGCCCGGGAAATGCTTATCGCGATTGATCGTGTTGCTTCTACAACCAACATCATGGCGAGCAAACAACCGTTCAAGACCACTTTCGAACCGGAAAAGGTCATTCGACCTATCTTCACCGGAGGCTCTGTTGCATTGGACAATGGCGCCAAGATTTTGGCCACGCCCCTTGGGGAGGACGTGATCTTGACCAACCCCTCTAACGGAAAGCATCTTGCAAAGATCGAAGGCGTATGCGCCCCAGACCGCACTCAATTGACGCGATGCTGACCATGCGCTTCTAGGATGGCGAACAAATCTCGACTTTGACCTGTACGTATGCATACCAGCATCATTGAGCAACCTCTAACGCTGAATCTAGTGACGCCCTCCGGGTCTCACCTCATCATCTGCTCCCGATCTTTGTCCATGAAGATTTACGCTCTGAAGACCACCGAAGACGGAACGATCGAAGCGAAGTTGACGAGATCCCTCAAGCCACACGGCACCCCTGTCGTCGTTCTCGCTGTCGACCGAACAAGCACCCTTCTTGCGACAGGAGGAACGGATGGAGCGATTAAGGTCTGGGACATTGTCGGAGGCTACGTTACCCACACTTTCCGCGGTCCAAGTGTTCTCATTTCCGCTCTTCACTTTTTCGAGGTTGCCGCTCGTTCGAACGATCTTGAAGTAGAGAAGGTTGGCAAGAAGGGAAAGAAGTCGAAGCAGGTCGAGGAGCAGGACGATAACTCTACGACGACAAATTGGCGGTTGGTGTCCGGTAGCCAGGATGGAAAGGTTCGCGTCTGGGATCTCCACAAACGCGCCGCTGTTGCGAACCTCGACTCCCACGTGTCCAACGTCCAAGGCCTGGACTACTCCCCCGAACAGAACGCCATCGTGTCGGCAGGCAGAGACAAGACGATCATCTGGTGGGATGCGAGGTCTTGGAAGATCCGGAAGATCGTGCCTTGCTTGGAGCTTATTGAGGCTGTTGGTTTCGTTGACGGCGGTCGTCTGACCTACTCCGCGGGCGCCAAGGGCTGCCTCCGTATCTGGGATACTGACACCGGACGCGAGTTGACAAAGGAGCAGCCTGCGAAGGCTGAGGCGGAGGGCATCGTGAGCGCTGTCTCTCACCCCGAGCTTCCTTTCGTACTTTGCGTGCAAGTGGACCACACGCTCGCACTCTACAAGGTGCCCAAGAAGGACGATGTTGAGGGCTCTCTGCTCGAGCCATTTAGGCGTATTTCAGGCACTCACGACTCGATTATCGATCTTACTTACCTACTCCCCGACCGCTCGCTCCTCGCCCTCGCTACAAATGCCGAAGATATCCGCATCGTCTCCGTCAAGGACTCCGACGCCAACGCTACCACAGAGAACTCGACGTATTTTGGTCAAGATTTGGCGTTACTGAAGGGCCACGATGACATTATCGTCTCCTTGGACGTTGACTGGTCCGGATACTGGGTTGCAACGGGTGCGAAGGACAACACTGCTCGTCTCTGGCGCATCGACCCCGAGAACAACTCTTTCACATGTTATGCTACCTTCACGGGTCACACCGAGTCAATTGGTGCAGTTGCTCTGCCCAAGCAGCCCCCACAGGTGTCATCAGCACAGTTCAAGGATCCCCTTAGCCATCCCCCGCCATTCCTCTTGACTGGCTCTCAAGATCAGACTGTGAAGAAGTGGGATATTCCGAGGGAAGCTCAGCAAGGGAAGAAGGGAGGCCGTGCTGTCTTCACCAGAAAGGCGCACGACAAGGATATCAACGCCATGGATGTCCATCCTTCCGGTCAACTCTTTGCCTCTTCATCTCAGGATAAGATGGTCAAGATCTGGTCCGTGGCTGAGGGCGAAGTCCAGGGTATTCTGCGCGGCCACCGCAGAGGTGTGTGGTCAATCAAGTTTGCCCCTGCCCAGTGCCCCGCCATTCAGGGAGACGAGGGTCAGGTTGCTGGAAAGGGTGTTGTCTTGACGGGTAGTGCCGACAAGACGGTGAAGCTCTGGAGTTTGACCAACTACACCTGCATCAGGACATTTGAGGGTCACTCCAACAGTGTTTTGAAGGTCGTCTGGCTGAACATGCCAAAGCTCGAGGGCAAGGGTAAGAAACAGCTCCAGTTCGCCAGTGCGGGTAGCGACGGCCTGGTCAAGGTCTGGGATGCCAACTCTGGCGAAGCCGAGGCAACGCTTGACAACCACGAGGACCGTATCTGGGCCCTGGCCGTCAACTCCAGTGACAACACAATTGTCTCTGGTGACGGTGACTCCATCGTCACTTTCTGGAAGGACACCACTGCTGAGTCCCAGGCTGCCGCTACGGAAGCCGCTCAGAAGCTGGTTGAGCAGGAGCAAGAGCTTGAGAACCACATCCACGCCGGTTCTTACCGTGATGCTATTGTTCTTGCCCTCCAGCTTAACCACCCCGGTCGCCTGCTGAGCCTGTTCACTTCTGTTGTCAACTCTGCCACCCCCGAGCAGGGCAGCCTCTGTGGTCTGAAGGCGGTCGACAAGGTCCTTGCTACTCTCTCCGACGAGCAGATCTTTACCCTTCTCCTGAGGTTGCGTGACTGGAACACGAATGCCAGAACAGCTGCTGTTGCCCAGCGCATCCTATGGGCTTTGGTGCGCAGCTACCCTGCGTCCAAGTTCTCTAACTTGTCAGTAAAGGGGGCCCGCGGACAGAAGAGCTTGAAGGAGGTGCTCAATGCCCTCAAGGTATACACTGAGCGACACTACAGAAGGATGGACGAGCTTGTGGACGAGAGTTATCTGGTGGAATATAACCTGCGGGAGATGGACAGTCTCGCGCCCGCGATAGAGGATGTTGCCATGGACGACGCCATGGATGTAGAAAGAGATACCATCATGGCATCCTGATCAGTTGTAGTAATACTGGCACAGCAGAACACTAGAAAGAACTGTTTCTTGTGCGTACATACAATTCACACGAACGAACGAGTTTGATGGGATTTGAGATGATGCTACTATATGTCTTTAAGCTAGTGCGTCGTATAAATTACTTATAAATGCTCCGGTCAAACCCGAATGGCAAATGAACCCTTAGATGTTCCTTCGTCGGGCCTCCTAGACATTATTTTAGGTAACTTAAAATAATAGTAATAACTTGTATCCGAAGAGGGATTCTACTAGCTGGTACAATTTGGCCTTCTTGTGAGTCAAACCGAACCTAACGACTACTAAGAGGACCCTAGTTCACATCATTTCTATGTAGCTCTAGCCGACCGAATAACCGTGCCAGCATACTCATATACAATGATTTGACTAAACTGAGAAGTAGATGTATAACCTAATGTCTGGGAAGATGGATTGAACCCCATCTTACATATTTAAAACAGCTCTTTCAGCTTCTGACATCCGTCGATCCATTTTTACCTCCTCTTCAACGCGACCCGTTTCGTGATATATCCGAGAAAGGTCTTCGAAGGTAGTTATAGTGGTGGGATGATTCTCTCCGAATATCCTAATTCGAGCCTCCAAAATCTCTAAGAGTAGTCGCTCAGCCAGGACGTGTTGTTTTTGCTCTATATATATCCTTGCAAGTTTTGTTGTACGCATCAAGGTGGAAGGGTGCTCCACACCCCTTACCCTTTTCGAGAGCTCTGCAAGTGTTTCGCACAGCTGTTGTGCCTCTTTCAGTCGATCTCTAGAAGAATATACGTCCACAACTAAGTCCATAGCTCGTAGCGTTTTACGATGCTCTTCCCCCAGTATCTCTTTTGTTTTTGAAAAAACCTCCAAGCAAAGCGGTTCTGCCTCATCGTAGCGTCCTAAACAAGTAAGAGCAAACGCTACTAGCCTTTTGCGACTCAAAATTGCACCTATGTCTTCTGGCCGAAGTCTTTGGTCAACTTCCAGCACCTTCAATGCTATTTCAAGCCCTTCTTCTTCTTGACCCGTGTCAATATAAAGACCCGATAATCTGTCCATAGCTGCTGCTGTCCGTCTGTCCTCTGGTCCAAAAACTTTGCTGTACAAGGTTGTGGAACGGAGCTGAAGCGATTTCGATGTTTGGTATTGCCCTCGATAACCAAAATATTCACCGACATCGCGTGAAAGCCAGGCGTCCTCTTTGAGTGGCTTCTCTCTAGTAATTTCCGCATGCTCTAAAACAGCGAGGGCATGCGGTAGCAGTTGAAGACATGCCACTCGGTTTTCGTGACTTCCATCTGGAAACACTCTTTGCACCATTTGAAGAGCTTTTGTCGCAAATTCAGACATTGAGCCCCTGTCAGCAAGCTGTTTTCGAGTGACAAGTTGCACTAGTCTGTGCATGTCGAACAAGTCGTCACCAGCCTTGGAGATGAAGGAAAATGCCTGGAGAACCCCCAGGGCTTGGGTGACTTCCAGATCAGTGTTGATTTGAAGATCAGTTTCGGAATCTTCCCCCAGCTCTGGGTCATTGTCCAAATGCGACGCTTTCCGTAGTGTTTCATAGCAGAAATCCCAGATGAACTGCTTCGGTATAGCTTGACGGTCAAAGAAGCTCATCAAATAGAGCACTTTGCTAGCCATAGGTTTCTGATGCTCAATGTGCTTGAAAGAGATGGCCCAGGTGGCTGTCAATGCATGCGGTGTCTTGGTGTCTCGCCCGACTGCCTCAAATGGCTCGCTCAGGCGCTCAATTATACTGGAGTCGCTCTTGTCCAGGAGCCCGACGTAGGCCTTGATAGATATCGAGTTCGCAAGTATATAAGATGCTGCCTGTGCAAGAGCCAGGGGTAAATGCTCAAGACGTGACGATAGAAGCGACGCTTCTGCAGGCATCACCCTTTCATCTTCTAATAGTGTGCGCAATAGCTGAGTAGTTTCAGTCTCGGTCATCCTTTGGATTTCAACGGGCAGCTTTCCTCGAGTAAGCTTCAGCCCTGCCTGCTTGTTTCTCGTGGTGATCAGGACCGATCCGTGCGAACATTCGGGTATAGAATGCCCTAAGCTGGTTGTTCGACGATCGGCTTCGGCGGTGGAGTTTGTGGGGAAGAAGACCTCCGTGTCGTCGGCATTATCGAATACGAGGAGCCATCGACCTCGCCGCTTGTTCTCCAGCCATCCCTTGACAAGTAAGAAGATGTCAACCTCTTTGTTCTTGTGCCCAGGAATTTCGCATTCTCGAGCAATATCGCTGAACGCCTTCTGGAACCTTTCGACGTTACTCGCATGGATCCAAAAGACGGAAGCATCTTGGAAACTCTCTTTGAACCAGTAACAGTAGGCCAAAGCGACTTGTGTTTTCCTGCAGCACTTAGCATATAGATGTGAAGATGAACGGGAGGATTGTGTACCCGACTCCACCGAGACCATGTAGTGCCACTCTGGAGCGCGGCTTTCTGCCAGGGCGATGGTAAGTATCGCTGTGACCAAAAAGATCTTTCACCCGTTCGAGGACTTCTGAGCGGCCAACAAAATCTGGGTTCTCATTGTAGGGGACAATAACTGCCAAACCATCAGTAGAATTTCCTATAGAGTCACTCAGCTACTCACATGCTGGAGGTGGTGTCTCTATGGTGCGAGAGACATGTGTCGTGGCTGTTGTGTTTGTTGGTGATGTAGCGAAGTTGTACATGTTGAGAACGGCCTTGGTTGCGGAAGCAGCCGCCACAGCTGCGAAGCCCTGCCAGTTTTTGTTCTTGTGACTGTCGGCATAGTCGCAGACTGACTTGACGATTATGCAGGGAATCTCGTCCCATACGCCGGCGCCTTCCATCTCGAACGCAATGATACCGTGCTGCTGCGCCATCATGTCTCGATGTTCTCCGGACTTCATTACGGTATCTCCCGAGCCCACAGTACCGACGAATACCTGTGGCGGCGGTGAATTCGAAGTGTTAACAATAGCCTCTCGTTTGCTATTTTTTTGATATCGACTGTTGAGACGCCTTCTTGGCACTTGAAAGTCCTCATCGCATTGTAGATCTATGCAGGACGCATTAATTGCTTCGTCGCAAATGATATCCTCGGAACAACTGCAATTTGCCTCGTATTGGTGTCTGTGAAGGTAGTCCGTTTGGAAAAGAACATCTGCATCGATGCTGGGACGAATGTATTTTGACCAGTGCCCATTCACCACAGCGTTTCGTTGGATATGTTCTATCGTGTTAGGAATTTGATTGCGTAATTCATCGCGACCGAAATCCGTCTTCAGGCGAGCAAGAAACGATCGTATTTCCTTGATTGGCATCCCTAAAACATCACTGGCAGTGTTTTTATGGGCAAATTTCGAGGGATATTGGCGGCCGTAGTCGTACTGGACGACGTTCTCGCTGATGATCACGTCGCCCAGTAGAATCTCGACTTCGGGGCACGGATTGGGCACTCCACCGCAAATGCCGCAAAGGAAGGCTAGGTTGACGAATGGAAAACTATGTCGAAGGCTGGTCGTTGCACTTGATGCGCTCGTCTTGCCCATCTTATGCAGCAGAACGAGCACGGCATTTTGACTGCCTATTCGACCCAGAGTGTAAGAGTTGTGGTCGCCAGGTGCTTTGCCGAACTGGTTTCCTGGCCAAGTTTCGTCAAAAGCTAGCGCGACAGCATCAAATTCGATAGGGAGGGCACAAATCAGCGCCACGGTGAAGTCTTCGCGGCGACTTGGCCGTGGGCTCGCCATTTTCGATCGGCGTCAGTTGCTTCGAGATGTCATGAATCCGCCTCACGCTGCGAGGGGAGCAAAGTGAAATGCTCTCAAGAGATGCCCGGGATGAGGAAATAGGCAGGCTCTAGAATGAGGGCGCCTATCGTATTATTCCGGCTTAGTATAAATCAGGCTGCGCTCCTGCTGCATCTTGAACTCCTCCATGTAATTGGACCAGCGACCACAACGTCTGCATGCGCCACTCAAATGCTCTTGCGGCCCAAGTCGACGGCATGCATGTGGGAACGGATCTCTGAGCTGATGCCAATACGAAGCCATTCATTCTCATAAGGAGGTCTTGATATCAGTTGAAAGAGGTTTTCATAATGTGAAGAATAGTTCCGTTGTCACCTCGGCACATTGAGGTAGGGAACACGGAAGCTCTGGGCGTGGTTGCAAAAGTGGGGCGTGAACATATCACCCGAGAGACGGGCGACTTTTTCGAGCCTGCAAAGGCAATGGGGGCGCATCGTTGAACCATCCGCGCCTTATCCCAGCGTCACATACACTGCCTGCGAAAACTGCCAACCACAGTCCCAACACCCTTATATACCCCCACAAGGCAGCATGTCTTACAGGAAACGTCACGCAGAAGAGGCTCTCGACGAGATCGCAGGCATTGCCTCGCCTGCCTCGAAACGCTCGAGAACAGTCGACTCCCTAGTATCCAACGACTCAATCGAGCAAAACGGGCACGTCGCAGAGAGGGAGGAGGTAGCAACACCGACAAACGGCAATGCAGAGTCGGAAAGGAGGCAAGATGATGGTGACGATGAAAGCGACCTGGACGATGAGGCACCTGTACAAGCCCCCATCCGCCAATCCGCCCCGACAGACGGCTACGACGACCTCTACCTCGACACGATAGACCGCAACGTCCTCGACTTTGACTTCGAGAAGCTCTGCTCCGTCAGCTTATCCAACATCAACGTCTATGCTTGCCTCGTATGCGGCCGCTACTACCAGGGTCGCGGACCCAAGTCGCACGCCTACTTCCACGCCCTCGACGAGAACCACCACGTCTTCATCAACATGCAGACGCAAAAGGTCTACGTCCTACCCGAGGGCTACGAAGTCAAGTCCAAGTCTCTCGACGACATTAAGTTCGTCTCGGACCCGCGGTATACCAAGCAGGAAGTCGCCGCGCTCGACCGCACGCCGCTGCGCGCGTCATTCACGCTGGCCGGCAAGGAATACGCCCCTGGGTTCGTGGGCATGAACAACCTGAAGGAGAACGACTACCTCAACGTCATCGTGCAAGCGCTGTCACACGTCGCGCCGCTGCGAAATTTCTGTCTGTTGGAAGACCTGTCATCACGCTCTGAACTGGCGAAACGCTTTGGAATCCTCGTCCGCAAGATCTGGAACCCGCGCGCATTCAAGGCCCATGTCTCCCCTCACGAGCTGCTCCAAGAGATCTCCCTCCTCTCGAGCAAGCGCTTCACTCTGACAGCGCAATCAGACCCCGTCGAGTTCCTCTCATGGTTTCTCAACAACCTGCACCTCGGACTCGGTGGCTCCAAGACCAAGCCAGGCAGCTCCGTCGTGCAGCGCATCTTCCAAGGCAAGCTCAAAGTCGAATCGCAAGCCATCACCGCGCGCGCCGACGCCGGTGACCGACTGCGCTTCGAGGACGCGGCAGTGTCAGTAACATCAACACGATTCATGTTCCTGACCCTCGACCTCCCCGCCGCACCCCTCTTCCAGGACGAACTAGAAAAGAACATCATCCCTCAGGTCCCTCTGACCACCATCCTCTCAAAATACGACGGCATCCAGGCCCAGGAGCACCTGGCCCAACGAAAGCGCTACCGCCTCCTTCACCCCTTACCACCCTACCTCGTCTTCCACGTCAAGCGCTTCAGCCAGAACAAGTTCGTCTCGGAGCGCAACCCGACCATCGTCACGTTCGACCCCAACGGCCTCGACGTCAGCCCGTACGTCGAGCCGAACCCAGGCGAGTGGCCACCCGGCGAGCCCATCATCTACGACCTCGTAGCCAACGTCGTGCACGAGGCCGTCCGCGCGAAGGAGGACGTCGCGGACAGCGGAGAGGAGCGCAAGACGTGGAAGGTGCAGCTGCGGGACAAGGGCCGCGACGAGTGGGTTTCTTGCCAGGATCTGTTTGTGGAGAAGGTGCAGAGTGAGCTGTTGTACCTCGGCGAGACGTATCTGCAGGTTTGGGAGAGGAGGCGGACGCCAAAGGGCAAGGGCAGAGCGTAGGTAGGATTCCATACTAGATTGTGTATGAAGTTAAAATGAAGAAACAACGCGGAAGAGAGAGTACGCGTTTTTAGAATCTGTACTTTTTCCGCAGCGCAAGGAGCTTGGTGTGTATCATTAGTAGGTATGTTGCTGTGACACTTGAACATTCACAGCAAAACGGCGAGTGCCAAAAATCGTTTGACGCTCATTTCGTAGTCATTTAGACTATCCGGTCCAGGCCCTTCCGAACCGCGCAGCCAGCTCATGCCGGTGCTTGCGCCCGAGGCAGCAGTAGTGTACACCTCCCAAAGATGATAAGATGGGTTTAGCCAATCCCACAAATAACCGCTTGTGTGCAATCCATAAAACAACGTGACCGCTAAACGTTGACCGCTGCCCATTTTTTGCGCCCCTTGAATCGTATCGTTTCCCCCGTCTCCGAGGTTCGACAATAAACTCGAGAAGCACTTTCGTTCCCCCCTAGCCTGCTATGTTGGATAAAAAAAGAACAGCAGTCATCATGCCCTCTTTCGACCTGTCCTCGCTTTCTCTTCGTCTCCTCGTCCCTTCTTCTCCACTCGGTATCCCTATCCCAACAAGGTGTTGTTTTCGTCGGACTTTCGACCCGAATGCTATGAAGACCCGGATAACGGAATCTGATAGTGTACAAATAAACATCAAAGATGGCTTGGAAAAAAATGCAAGAAAGGATTTGAACTCGTGCCGGCGTTTCCCCCAGCATGATGCCCGTTGGAGAGGGTTGAGAGGGCATGCGTCGGGGTTCTTGGGAGGTGTGTGTTGGTGGCTCAGGAAGTGGGCTGCTTCTGCTCTTCGTTGGACTGCTTCATGGCGTTGGATCGCTTGTCGTGCTGCTTCTCGCGGCGCGACTCCTCGATGGCTGCTCTGTGCTGGATGCTCTCGTCGTGGGACTTGAACTCGAAAATCGTGTTGGGAGGGCACTTAAGGTAGCTCTTCCACGTCTCACTGCTTTTATGTTAGTGACCATCATTCAGCGGGGCCGACGCAGGTCCACTTACCGAATTCTCAGCACACGTCCACCGGTCGAGCGCGTCCAGATGCTGATGATGTCCTCGCCGTTGCGGACGCTAACCACACCTCCACAAATCTCGTCACTGCAGTCGGTGAAAGCCTCGCCAAGAAGCGCAAACACGGTGTCCTCCCAGTACCGGTCAACGATGCCCTTCTTCAAGCGCAGCACCCACTTGCCACCGCTCCTGTTCTCGTCATCCTCCCAGATGGGACGGACACCCCTCTTGAAAAAGTGGTATTCCCAGCCCACCGACAGCTCCGAAGGTCGCTTGAGATGCGGATAGCCAACCCAGAACTCCTCCACGCTGTTACAGTGGATCATGGGAGTCAGTGACTTGGCGTACTCCTGGTACGGCTGGCCCTTTGGCTGGGGCGGGCGACACCACGTCACCCACTCGTACTTGAGCTGATGGACGCGAAGGGTCTCAGATGATGTCCGAGTCGAGACTGGTTGCGAGCCCACCGCCTTCTTCCCCGCCGCATTCTCGGCGATGGAGGCCATGGACGGCTTACCCAAGGGATCATGCGACGACGCGCCGACAGCCTTGGCGCCAATCTTGCCCATAGCCATGTCGAAAGGGTTGCCGGGGGATTTCGGCGTCTTCGCAGACCCGAAGGAAGCGAAAGCGCCGGAGCCCAGGCCGAAGGCGTTGGAGGCAGTCGGAGAAGCCATGCCGCCGGGGGTCGTTACGCTGTTGAAGGGATTTGATTTGCCGCCATGTGAGGACGAGTCGCCGCCGAATCGTTTGGCGAAGGAGCCGTTACGGTTGGCGTCACCGCCCGGTGCGGGACTGCCATTGCCCGGTGTCGAGAGGGAAAGCTTGCCTGAGCTGCACGCGGGTCGCAATGTCAGCGATCTGGAATATACACAGCGCAGCGACCGGGGTGGCATCAAAATAGAAAGTGCATATCGAGGTCGACCGTGAAGGGGGAAAAAAGAGGCAACTGCACTAGTACCGTGTACTTACTTTGTGCGGCGGGTCCATAGGTTGTTATCCATGGGGACTGCTTTCGAAGACTTTTCTAGATGAAAAACACTTCTATCGGAAATTCGATCCCTCAAAAACTTCAAGGGCGGCGGCACCTCGGTTTACAATTCTGGTCGCAGTTGTGGCGGCTGGGACAGACGGATGAAAATAGGATGCGATGGTGGTCGGGATGGCGGCGGCGGCGGGCGGGCGAGCGGGCGGGCGGTTGAGAGGAGGGCCTGCAGGGGCAGTTTCGCGGCGGGAGGACAACACTGGAGACTCGAAGGTGGGAAAGAAACGAGCGAGCTTCGATTGGGAAGAGGCCGGGTCAGTGTAGGTAGGGTACGGATAGGTAGGTAGTATTCGAGGCAGAGGCGGAGCAAAGATGGATGACGGGTTGTGTTTGTTGGTATCTCGTGCAGGTGTAGTATTCTGGGGGTATTACAGACGGTGGAGGAAAATGCGAGATCGGTAAGGTGTGTGTTTTGGAGCGATGTTTGTGAGACGAAGAGGAGGGCGAATTATCAACTGATGGAGAACAATGAACAGCTTGAAGAGAAAAAAAAATCATAATGGGGCATCAGTGTCCATCCTTTCTTGACCTTAGTCGTCACCTTGCTATCGATGGCGGATAGAGCGATAGCGCCTCGCTTGGCTCACCCCTGATGACTCCACCACTGGCCTTTGGACCAATCAGAAGTCGCGGTGGAGGAGGCGGGCAAGCTGGAACGGCGCACCACAGTGAGGTCACAGCGAGTCCCGTCCCCTGGGGCCCGGGGCTGGAGACGCCCATGCCGCCCGCCAACCATTGCGTTGGGCGCGACAGCACAGCTTTTTGACCTGGAAGCCCGACGGGTCTTGGTCTTCTCAGGGTGCCTTAAGGTAGGTACTGTCTGCTGTCTGCTGTCTATTTTTCGCCATCTGCATTTATCGGATTGGCGTCCGGCGCTGTCCTCCTATGCGCATACTTTTTACCTAACACGAGCTTGGAGCTTCTCCGTCCTGCTGTTGGCATTATGTAGTGGGTGCTGCTGCCGCAGTCAATCCACACCGTCCATTACGTGCAGTTACTCACTTATCTGTCTCTTTCCCATGGAAAAGGTACTCCGTCGGTACATGGGAGGTATCCATCAGACCATTCGGCTCGTCGTTATGCGGCCAAAGTGTCAGATGCGTCTGCAACAGCACTTGAGATGGCCCCAAGTCGTTGTGCTGTCTGTCAGAGGCCAGGTCCAACGGTCGGATGGGGACTCGAGATGCATGGCCTGAAACACATGCCACCACCACGAAAAGCTACCTAGCAGGTTCGAATGCCTTCCCAGAGTCATGACATGCTGCATACAGCCCATGCCTGAAGAGAGCGCCAGCATCGGCGCCGGAGGCTGACAGATCAGGGACACTAACCTCAAGCTTTCTCGAGGTTGGGCGCAGCGGCAGGTGCTTTGCGGATATTTTCAGTGTCTAAGCACACGCCAGCCAGCCAGCCCTAGAATAGAAGAAGTCATTGCGACAGGCGTGCGTCCGTTGCGTTCCTTACCTTTAAACCGAGCCACGGTGACCTCGGCTACCCGGTTCATCCCACCTTGGCGTGGCCTCCGCTTTCTCGAATGCCATATTCAATGCAATAAGATCACCGTTTGCCTGATGGATAACGGCGAACATGGTGCAACTCGAAACACCAGTATTGAAAGCCACCAGAAAGAGGTAGGCAGGTACTTGACCACTTCGCGCCCACGTGGTGTGCCTGGGAAAAACGTCGTCTGGTTGGCCTACCCCGCCATTTACTGGATCCACACCCCTGGGCAGCAACAGTGCACAGTGCATCCACGTCCTGGTCCCTCCAATCCCCGGCGCGTCATCCAAAGAAAAGAAAGCCCAGGTCCACGACACGCCAGACCGCGCTTACCTCACCACCGCAAGTCGCGACACCTCTGATCGGCATCCCAACGGTCCAACGTCGACCTCACCGAGCCCACCGCCCCTCTCCGCCGCTGTCTCTCGGTCATGCTCCCGAATTAGCCACCCCGATTGTCTTTTCGGGTCCCCTGGCTTGAACCGCGTTGCCTCGCGACCATGGAAAAGTTCCTTCGGGAATGGAGGCAGGATGCCCTAAACAAAGCCCAATACGACTCCGCCATCTTTATCGGCGACAAGTTGCTGGCCCTGACTAGTATGTTGACCCATTGGTCTTAATTCAACGTCTTTCATACGAGCTTTTCTGACTTTTCTCTACCACCAGATGACGAGAAGGACGCCTTTTGGTTGGCCCAAGTACACTTCGCAACTGGCAATTATACCCGTGCGCAGACCTTTCTCGCCAAACAAGACCTCGTTTCCCGCAACGTCTCCTGTCGATACCTGGCTGCACACTGCCTAGTCAAGCAATCGAGGTTCGAGGAGGCATTGTCTGTACTCGGCGACAGAAACCCGACCCATCTCATCTCAAATGCGAGTAACAAGCGAAAGGCACAGAACACGGCCCCCTTGGGCAGGGCCATAGGGGCTCATGCGAAGGGCAGCTCCAGAGACAGACAGCTTCGCGAAGACGCAGAGGAAGAGGCCACAAACCGGAAATATGAAGCCGCCATGTGCTATCTCCGAGGCATTTGTTACGCCAAGCAAAACGCCTTCGACCGGGCAAAGGAGTGCTACAAGGACGCGGTCAAGATAGACGTTCAATGCTTTGAGGCCTTCCAGCAGCTCATGAACAACTCGCTACTGTCTCCTGACGAGGAGTGGCAGTTTCTCGAGTCACTCGACTTCGATTCCATCAGCGTCTCTGGAGATGTATCTTCGTCACAGGAAGCCGCAGAATTCACCAAGATGCTCTACACAACACGGCTGTCCAAATACAGAGAGCCTTCAGCGTTCACCGCGGCATGCGACACGCTGTCGACACACTACCACCTGGCTGATAACCCCGATCTACTGCTCGCCAAAGCCGACCTGCTCTTCACACAATGTCGTTACCGCGACGCTCTCGCCATCACCGACTCCATCCTGCAGGATGACAAGTACAACTTCAGCATCCACCCACTACACTTGGCTTGCTTGTACCAACTCAAGATGAAGAATGCATTATTTCTGATTTCCCACGACCTCGCAGATACCCACCCAGAAGAGCCTTGTTCCTGGCTGGCTGTGGGCATATACTATTTTTCTATTGACAAAATCGCCGAAGCCAGGCGATACTTCAGCAAAGCTAGCATGATGGACGCACATTTTGGACCGGCATGGATTGGTTTTGCTCACACCTTTGCGGCTGAGGGAGAGCATGATCAGGCCATCTCGGCATACTCAACAGCTGCGAGGTTGTTCATGGGTACTCATCTTCCACAAGTCTTCCTCGGCATGCAGAACCACGCTCTCAACAACATGACACTAGCCGAAGAGTTCCTAAAGACGGCATATGGATTATGCAAGACGGACCCACTGTTGCTCAACGAGATGGGCATCGTCAAATACCACCAGGATAAGCCGCAGGAGGCTGTCCAATTCTTCAGAGCAGCCCTCAAGATCGCAGCAGAAATTGATTCGGACCCTCAAGCATGGCTGTCGCCGAGAACAAACTTAGCACATGCATATCGCCGTTTGCGCCTTTGGAAAGAGGCCCACGTGGAATTCGACGAGGTTCTACGCCAGGGAGGCAAGGACCCAGCCATTTTCTGTGCGAAGGGCCTCATCTACCTCGAAGAAGGCCGTCCTGAAAAGGCGGTCATTCCATTACACGAGGCGCTTGCCATCAACCCGCAAGACGGCATCGCTACGGAGCTCCTTAGCAAGGCTCTAGAAGAAACGTCAATCATCGACGTGGCAGATGGCGACGACCTAGAAGCTTTCGAAAACGAACTGGATATAGCAAAGGCTGCAGGTCGAGATCGCCTAGCACAGCGAGTGGGCAGAAGACGCGATGCGAAAGGAAAAGCAAAGCTCAGCAGAGCGAGGGCGATGCTGATGGACGACGACGACGAAAAGGGCGAGAGCATGATGGAGATGACTGATGACGACTAAGCATCCCCAAGCCACCATAATGTTATTTGGATGGCGCGAAACCACACGGCGTCTGCTACAGGATTAGAGCATACATGGTGTATCATCAAATGAGCCCAAAGTGTGCAGTACAGATAACGCTTAATGACAAACTTAACAACTCAAGGATCGCGATGCAAGTGAAAGGCGGGAGCAAGGTGATGCGGCTGTTGGCCCACGCGAATGCTAGTGTATTCTCCGTCGCTTAACTGATTAGTACAACTGCTCCAACTTGTCCGTCGAACGCCCGCTGTTCGCATTCGGAGTCGCTAGCGCGGATTTTCTGGGGTTAGGACGCGGACAACAAGCCGGGCTGACATGTTCGGGGGAATTGGTGTCTCGACCGCCGACTGCACCCAGCGAGCTGAACGGCACCAACTGATTACGGAGAAGTCGGTCGGTGGCACGATAGGGATAACATATAAAGAGGCGGCCCGCCAAGCCATTCGGGGATTCAATGCTGGGCCCTGCACATTACAGTCTCTAATCGACATCGTAGCAAGCTCCCAACAATTGTACCAAAGTCCCATTTTCTGGAGATTCCCTTTCCTCCCACATCCTAATCCAGAACGTTTACGAAGGAATCATGTCCCGCTACTTCCCGCACACGGCTTACGCAGAAGACCAGCCCCTCTCCCACACGATTCTGGGCGTCCATGTCCTCACGAGGGGCTACACCACCGGCGCGATAGTGGGTCTCGGCGCCGTGTCCGCCGGGAGCCTGTACTCCCGCCTCCGGGGCGCCACCAAGCCCGTCCCTACCATAGCATCATCACCAGCAGTTGCAGCAGCAGCGTCTGCTACAATGCAGAAAGGTCTGCCGCGGCTCCTCCGCAAGACGGGCACAGCCTCCGCCGTCGGCCTCGGGCTCATGGGCCTGGCCCTCGCAGGGAGGATGCAAGGGCGCGAAGACATTGAGTGGCGCGACCGCGCGTGGAGATTGCTCGAGAACCCGGGGCAGTTGGAGACGGACGACTCGACGTATGGAGGTGCCGCGGCGGGG